CCATACAAATAAGCTTCTTAAATGATAGAACAGTTTGGGGATATTTATGGCTAAAAGGAGGTGTGACTATTAAGTAATATGCCATACACACCAGAGAATGTGACACAGTGCTGTACATTCTGTCTAACTCAATTGAGTCTGATTTTTAAAATTCTGGTACGTTAAAATTTATTTGCAGGCTAGAGATTTTTAACTGCTTGTCTAGCTATGGTTGTAAAAATAAAAAAAAGCAAACCACAAAACAAAACCAAAAACCCCCTAACAAACCAAACCCCCAAATGAAACCCAACCAATAAAACCACCTCACTTCTGTTGGCTTGAAGCTTGAAGTGCATCGTTCTGGTAGCTGTCTTGTTCACTCTTCGTAGTCCCCCTCATCTGTGACTATATATAGTTTGTTAGAAACCACTGTGAAAAATAAGCTTGGTTGTTCCCTAATGAAATTGTGGGGTAATGTACTGGAAAGATACTTAGGTTTCGTTGTTTGATATGCTGAGAAGAGTGTCTTTCTTTTTTGTCTGAGACCTGGCTTCTTGCATATCAGTTCAGGGCTAACAGGTGTCTGAAAATCAGGCTTCTTTCATCACTGTTTTTTCCTTTTGGATTGTTGGCAGAGCAAAATAAAACTTTGCTCTGCTTTGAATAGACTTCAGCTATTATAACTAAAGAATAAGGGTTTATTTCCACCCCCCAGTCGCTTGACTCTCTTGAATGGCAAGGGATTTTTGGCATTCTGTTCCTTCCATGGTTTCCAATTTGGGGGTCTTTCTCCCCTACGAATAGCTCTGTAGGACGTGTCTGTGCAGCTGTTAGGGCTTAGCAAGGCGGCAACCTTGCTACGACTCCAGTTTTATAATTTTTCTCGTTGCTGTTAAAGCTGGCAGAAGATCTGTTCTTGTAACTTAACTCAGCAAGACACATTCAGAGATGTAGAGAATAATTGCCATGCGTAGCACCCTCACTAAGAGTGGATGCTGAGTAGAAAAGTTTGAAAAGCTTTATCTGTTTTGCTTATAGATAAAAACCTTAATTTTGACAGCATATAGAGATGCATTTTAAAAATATCTCTCCAGTAAACTTCCAGCATAACATATTTCATAAGTGTTCAGTGGAAAATGCTATATGAAAACTGCTATGTTATCTTTGCTTTATGGTTATATGTATAAGCAAGAATCGTTTCCAGAAAGTCGGGGTTTACTTGGGCAGCTGTGGTGTTGCCCAAGTTGTTGTTTCTCAGTTTACCACCTCCTAAAGCTTGTTCAGAGCTTAAGTATAACATCCTCTGTATTAGAGTAGTTAATGCTATCACCTCCACTATTTGTTCCTGACCAGAACAATCAGAGTTTGCTGTCAGAGGGCAGGTACTTTCCTTAGCACTGTTGCACGTGGTTCAGCATATGCCTAGTTCTCATCAAGCACAATTCTTTCATAATGCAGACAGATTTTATGGGAAACTTTGAAATTCTGGTCATTTTTATCAGGAATAGTATTTTGTTGATTATGGTTAGGTGATGAAGAGCTGGTTGTTTAATGACAAGTGTGAGTAGCGTTTACTGTTCTGTTGTACGAATAATAGTATGAGTAGGCTCCTTGAAATGGAACCAATTGCTTACTAGACATTCATAAATCATTTATTAGCTTTCTATTGCCTTTCAAACTTTAGTATAAAAATATCTTAAAACCTTTTGTATTAATTATACCCTGCTGGCTAAGGATTCTGAGCTGTTGATTTATTTAGGAATTATGATTAACATAATCATAATAAATGGATACTGAAATAATTTTTATGACACTATTTAAAACCCTTTATTGTCTCTGAAAGCTGCTTTTAGCTGATGCTATTTGTTGCAGACCAATAAACTGGACATGCAGGTACTTTAACATCGATCTTTGGAGTGAGATGGCATGTTTGTAGGCTGTAAATAGCACAGCAGAAAGACAACAATAGACCCAGTAGTAGTTCTGTGAAGTACATTTAAATACAAGCTTCATCGTGTCAGCTACTCTGCTGTAGTGGTATTATGCCCGTTGCTGGTCTCCAGTATGTGCAGGGTAGCTTGTCTCTGTCCACCTAACATTCAGTACTGGGGAGCACAGGAGTATCTGTGTTTGTGGCAGGGTGGGTGGTATATCGCAAGTGCATGTTCTAGTATGTCCATTGGAGTAGTGACTTTACTGCAACATCCTCGATTCAGTAGGTAAAACAACTTTTCATTTTTGTGAACTGTATGTGCTTTTCAGGACTTTGAGGATGATTTTGTCCTTAAGTTTCTGTTTAGTCTTTCTTGCAATTGGTATGTTTCCACGTAAGGCAATACCAGAAACTATTTTAGATTGTTTTTTGGGGACTGATTAGGTTGAGTATGCCTGGAAGTCATAATTTGAAAAGTGGAAATAAAGAATTGCTAATATATGTGATATTATCCTCAGTGTGTTGGGTAGCTGATGTTCTGGCTTTGCACTGTATTTTCAAAGTCATCACTTGTGTGTTTCTAGGCAAGTTATTCCTGTTACTGAAGCTTTACATCATTCTTTCCTTGATGCACGGAGGCATACGCAGTTGTTTGGTTTGGAACTTTTATGTGCATGTTTAGGAAATGATTGCCAAAATTACAAAGGAAGGCTGCGTGAGCAGGTCTGGACCCTCAGACTGGAAGTGCTCTGGAGCTGGAATTGCTCTTTGTTTTGAAACTTTGAGGTGTCCTTATACTCTTAGCTGAAATACCACTTACCTTTCGTTACGAACACAAATAGTACAGAACTAGGGTATACTCAGGAAGATTGCAGTATATCTCAGTTTTCACTTAAAAGAATTGAAAGATTCTTTAAAAAATTTATAGAAAATGGAGAATGCTTCGAATTGTGTGTTGAGTACAAACAAATATTTTTGGAACTTAAGAACTCTTAACATTTGATTTCCTACTTCTCTGTTGATAGACATGCCTTTAATATTTTTTTTTTCTTTGCTATTTGTCACCATTACTTTTTATGGACAGATATTTATGTTAAGTCAAACAGAAAATGAAACGGTGGTTGATAAAACATAAATGTTTTTCTAGTCATCCGTTTCGTTAATGCTGTCAGTTATGATAAAGAGAAGCTACATGCCACACATCTGAAGCCAACCCAATCAAGCCTATCTGATTTTACTAACCTTTACTGAGATTTGCTTGCTGAGGGTCATAATGGAGAAGCTGCTTTGCTGGCTCAAGCGGGTTTATTTGATCCACATTTGTCCTACATTTTCAAACAGAATTTACAGAAGAATCTTATCCAGGTGTTAAGAAAAGGTCATGGAACATAGTTGCTGATGCTTTAGTACAGGATCAATTTGCATTATACCTCTCTTTCAGGGGCTTTTATCATTTTGTTCTTCGTAGGAGACTCATGGTTTTATAAAACTGTCAATAGGATGGTTATGAAATAAAATGAAAAAACCTCCTATTCTTTCTGTGTTCTGGCTGTTTTTCTCCATACTGTTTTAATCAAATAAGTGTATTTTAGCACGACAGTTCACTTGCCTCTTGTTACTTTAATTGCCAGTAACATGTTTCAGCAGTATAATTTGGACAAATGATGTGTGCGTCCTGAAGCCCTTCCAACAAATTTTCGTGTCTTCTGAATATTTAGTATTCAAAACGTATGCAGCTGACAAAGGTGCCTACTAAAAGCATCATGTGTTGCTCTTAAATGTACTGATCTTTCAGAAGCCGTCAGAAACATTTTCTTGCATAAGAGATTGTATTTAAGATCTAGTGTACAGCTGAAATAGAAAATAATGAAAATTTTGTGGCTCATTTTCAGAACAGATTAGGTTTGAAGGTTAGATTAGATCTGTTGTAGCTGTCTGTAATTTAAAGGGAAAATTAATCTACCTCCTTTTTTAATCGAGTTAGGCTTTCCAGACAGGCTGCATAAGAGTTAGTATGCTTTCATGCTACATTATTTTTTTTTTTTTAAATTTGTGTTGTCTATTTTAAAAAGAGAATTAAATGTATTGTTTATGTTGTGTAGTCAGAGTAATTCCAATACTTCAATAGAATGTTTAAAGACCTGGAGATTTTTATAGTGATAACTCCTAGACACTAAAACTCTAGGACACTTTCTATGAACACTTATGTGATATTCTTTTGAAGAAGTCTCAACAAAATAGAGCAGGCAGGTAGATCAACTTTATAATGTATTTTACCTGAAATTTGGAAGAACTTTAATCAGAAATGGTACAAAGGCATGTTGTCTCTATGCAATATAGCACGTAACAATGCTATTACTGACCTAATTACTTGTTAAATGTAGTTTCTCATTGAATAACTGATCAGTAAAAATAACACAACTGAAAACTGTTCCATGGATGAGTTTTAAATTACTATATTAATGAGCAGTTTCAAAGACTTTAAGCCTGAACTCGTGCAAAAACTGTATTCTGAGAAATACAGATATTTTCAAAGGTGCAGAACCGCAGTACTTTTCTGTTAATTCTTGTTTAGCTATAATATAGTAGTGCTGTCAGGTAAGTCATATTCAGACAGGAAAAATAAAATACCTATATCTCTATTCTCCAAGTAACTCCAGGGAGAATTTTGAACTTCTTTTTAAGAAAAGGCTGAGGAAAATGACTGAAGTGGCAAGTGGCCTAGAAGGTGCATCCTTTCATTTAGATTTACTTACTGTATACTGCTTGTGATCAAAACACATTAAGTAAAGCAAAAGAATATTTGCAGCAACTTTGGTTATTAGTGTTTTACGTATATCTCTGATGGGGTCTTAGAACTCTGTGTTATTTTCATTACACTTGTGTATGCTTTAACAGTGAAAACTTGAATGTTCTGATAACAATATACTTCTACGTTAGCATGTTGGTGAAGGGAACCCTACTTAAAATCAAGATGTTACTTTATTTTCAAGTCAGGAGTTTTTGTAGCTCATATGGGCTGATAATCTGTTGTGCTGTTGTTTTTATCTGTTAATGGTCGTGACCTTTCTGGCTTTTTGACTTGTAGAACACAACTGAATCTACTGTCACTGTGGAGACCTTGGATGATGTACCTGAGCATGTGCTTAGGGGGCTTCCTGAAGACGTGAGGCTCTTCCCATCTGCTGTTGACAAGACACGGCTTGGTGAGTGCTACAACTGTGAAAAGAGAATGAAAATTTTTACACTAGCTCACATAAATTACAGTTGCTATGAAACCTTGGTGCCCTCCTGTGCTGTGTAGAGATGATGTCTGGTGCATTTATCTGAAATATTTTCTGTTGGAAAG